ACTTGTAACGCCCCAGAGCCATAGAAGAATCAAAGAACCGAGGTAAGATCAACTCATGTTTTGCGACACTGAAAAATAGAATAATGGAAGAATAGGAGGATCGGATGATAGGAGAATGCGCGTAACGGAAAGTGTATGTATCGAGCTGGCAAAATGGGAAAATAGCAGAAAGCGTGCCAAAGCAGAAGATAGGAATCGATCGTCTTTGGTAACTAGTCATTTAGGAGAACAGGAAGATCGGAGAATAGGAAAACGCGCGCAGTAGGAAGTTTGAGTATCGATCTGCCAAACTGGGGGAATGGAAGAATAGGAGGACCGGGGAGTGCGCAACATTGGAGAATGCTTGTCCAGAGGATTATCGTCAGAGAAAATAGATGGCAAGCGATTGACTTTCCAATCTCCTTTTCTCCCTATTCGCCAAATCAGGCAAACTTGCTTCTGACGTGTATTTCAGTTCTCCGATACTCCCATTCTCCCCGTTCGCTAGCTACCGGAGCCGATCGATTCCTATCTTTTGACTGTAGCACATTCCCCTGTTCTTCCAATTCGCCAGATCGATACTTACACTTTCCTTTGCGCGCATTCTAATATACTTCTGTTCTCCTATTGCCCACTATAGCAAAGTACGAGAGCCGCCTGATCGGAAGAATCACTAATTCGGTAGAATTGCGGACACAGGCGATACGCATAGAATATTTTTCCGCAAATCTTCCAAAGCGGGAAGCTAAATGCTCAATGTCTACCCAACCCTTTCCGCCCGGTCTCCCGATTCTCCGACCCTAGGAACGATTCCTATAAATTCCCATTTGCAGGATTTTCCCAGTATTCAGCGGGGTTGTGCATTGAGGCGGCGTAGCCAATAAAGGAAGTTGAACGGAACAAAGTGCCAACGACAATGAGCAGGGATATGGGCAAACTTACCTTGACATACAACAAAATCTCTTGAAGTAGTGGGCGCATCTGCGAGAACGTTAGCATTTCACAGATAGTTCCAAGGCATTCAAGGGCAGCTCGAAGTAAAAAGACAAATCGGTACTCAAAGTCACGATCGAGGCCTTCCTGAAATTAGAAGTTCAGAAGTGGAGGAGAACAGAAGGGGAATTTTCACAC